TATTTACCTTTTTTTTTGTACTTGTTTAAATATATTTATAATTTATTGTTTTAATTGATTTTTTATTTAAATTTATTGTATTTTGTTTTTAATTGTATTTTAACTGTAAATAATTTTAATTGCATTTTGTAATCTAGTCAAAAATTTTCTAGTCTATGTTGTATTTTAAATGTAATTGTCATATAATATTGTTTTAAATTAGGCTTAGATAAAGTGATATAAACTGTGATAGATAGAAGTAAGATTTCAATGTAAATTTATGTTTTGAGTTAAAAATAAAGAAATAAAGATACACCCGTTCCCCAGGTCCCTGACTTAAAATGTGTTAGGGGAACTAAAAAAAAAAAAAAAAAAAAAAAAAAAACAAACTATCTCTAATGTCATGGTCGTCGCTAAGGGAGAGCAGATTCTCTTCGCCTTTTAGGTATAATACCTTGAAATATTAAGATGAAAATAATCTCTGTAGATCCATACAAATGAAAACCCATGTCAATAAGATTTACATATGATTTCTGGTGTGTAAAAACAACAAGAGTATTTACGTGACATATCAAATACCCTCCCTTCTCGGAATCGATTCTATTAAGGATTTTATCCGAAATGAAATTCGAAGAAAATATTTGCAGTTAGCAAATACGTTCTCTATTATGATCGGAGCTGAGGAATTCGTTTACGTATTTACCGAAACTATTTCACGAGTACGTGACATATTCCTTTTGCAAAGATGACTTACAAGATTTTTCTATATCCGTTTTTTTTTTTAATTTAATTTTAGATTGATATTTATTAAATCTGAACAATACAACTTACTTTATTTCTTTGTTCAACATTTATAAACATGTTATTTTTTACTTGTTAAGCCTTTTATTCCGATATTTGGACCCCTTTGGGGTAAAAGCTCTTCATATTTCCCACCTTTTTGGTCATCGTGTGAAAAAAAATCTTGAATTACGTAATATTAAAATTAAAACCTATCTTTTAGTTGTTATAGGATTCCTTATTTATTTATTTAGTTATTTATTTATTAAGATAAACCAACAAGTCAAAATTATGACACACATTTTTACACAATACAATAAGTAACATGCAGATAATTTGTCCTAATTATAGGTTTACACGACATACATAGAAATATAATATTCCTTTTATAAATTATTAAAATAACTTGGACTCAATCACATACATATGTATTTACTCCTATACCTACTTAATAACAAGGCCAACCTTTAAAGAAGAAAACACAACACATTATTAGATATTTCGACACAAATGACTTCCTTTAAAATATAGACGGACGGCCATATTAACAATACTTGTAAATTACTTTAAAACACACAAACTGAACTCCAATGCGACAACGCAAATATATCGAACGTTCCGTTGCGACTCAGCGCCGAGACTACAACCGAGCCTGAGCCACTCCTTGCCATATATTTTATAAAACTACCCGCCACTATTCCTTCTGTTTCCTAATACTTTCCTAACAACATTGTTGTTTTAAATAAAGATAAACGTATTGATCAATAGCACAAATTAACAAATAACTTTTAAGAATACAGAATACATCAAAAATAGTTAAAAAGCTAACAACTTGTACTATTTTTGCGACACGAAACGTAACAATTTCTGACATGATTAAAGTTAACTATCTTTACAATTGTATCAATAAAAAAAAGGAAAAACACACTATATTTAAGCATTTAAGACTTTACGACCTTATTTTTATCGAGAGTATAATACTTTAGTCCCCGAGGTCAAGGATAAATTCTCCCTATACAGTAACAAAGCCTTTGTTAGAATCTTTACAACATTATTTCACGAATACCTGACATAGTTTCCTCCGTGAGATGTAACATTGAGGAAAATATTTGCTGTAAATTATGTGAAAACCCCTCCAATACTTCATACTTTGGTAGTCTTTGGAATATTTATGGTCGCCTCTATTAGCTTCAAGCGTATCAGTTCATTATAACATTTGCAGCCAAATTTGTCATCTATTTCTATACTCTATACTATTATAATAAAGCGTAAACAAACACTTTGTTCCATAAGATGTCAGCAATTACAGCATATTTTGGAATTGTTTCTTTTTTTAATAGAAAGCCCTGCACTTACTTCACGCTTTAGGCTATATATTTCCACGCCGTTAAACTTAGGAGGTAAATATTTTAGATAGAAACCCTAATTTGGGAAAGAGACCATAAGTTGCTGCCAACATCAAGGAAGCAAGGTGGTCACAATGTCATATCATTTTGACATTATCTATTGATAATTTGACAAATGTAAACAATAAAGTAAAATTTTCATAATTTCATGCGAATGAAGCCGCATGGAAATAAGTTTTAAAGTAAGCCTTGGCCTCTGTGAATATGAGTCTCCACTTCTAGGGGAAAGATCCATCATTTTTTGTTTTTTTTTTTTTAGTAAAGATTTTATGTCGTGACATCATTCAGCCAGTAAGTAAGTTGGCGAAATTCACATTCAGCCAGCAGCATTAATACTATTAATATCTGTTACTTGATCCGATCCAGTACGTCCGAGTAACCTTTTGTATTTTTTTCATATTCATATATTATTCCTAACAATAGAACTCTCAAAATGGTATAATCCATTACATTTCATAAGTAATAAGAAATTTTACTGGCTTTAAGTAATAGTATGTTATACATTCATAAAAAAACAGTAACGGACGTAAAGTGGAAGTAATTCCGCGTTTTTTCTATGCGTGCCGGAGACCTAATTTTACATCTTTCCACCCTGTTCATACAAAAATGGGAAGTTGGAAAAGATTTGGCCTGAAAGGGGACACAATTATAGGGGCAATGTTTTTTTCTGTGCATCCTCTCCTCTTTTGAAGTCAAGTTAATTACTAATTATTTAAGAACAGCTTTATAATTCTTGAATATGACTCCATTTGAGACAAGTGAGTCATTTAGCACTTATTATGGTCATAAAATCTTTATTATGGTATAATGAAAAAAATGGGTAACTGGATCCAATATAATTTTTATGTGTCAAATAATAACTTTTTATGTCAGCCTTCTGGAAATTGTTGTATATTATGTTAATGGCCACTTCTGATCTTGTTATATCTATGTGGTTAACTTTATGTTCACATATAATTCGTAATAAAACCAATAATACCGTGTTCCTATATCTATATGTAGACTAACTTTTGCTTGCGATTTCGTCCGTATGAAATTGAAAAATTGTAAAAGACATAGGCTATATTATTCACTGATAAGTTAGCTTTTTAATAATAAAGAATTTTTGAAATGGGCTCAGTAGATTTTGAGTTATTTCAATACATACAAAAATACAAATCTTTCCTCTTTATAATATTAGTATAGATATAAAAACTTTAACTAAAAAAAATTATAAAGGGGCTATGAAAGAAAAAGAAAATATCTTTTGTCTACTGCAAAAGACAACGCATCGCATTAATCACCAGATTAATCGTATATTAACCACAATTTGTATTTATCTTTTAATTGGTATAACTGTAATTGTTATTGTTCATCTCTTTTTTTTCAATAAAATTATTTCTATTTCTATTCTATCTTCACAATCTATAGAACCGCGGAATAAAACTCCAAATAATTATGATAAAACATTTTATTATAAACAATAATTAAAAAACATATTTTTTTTATATTATTATACACAGACAATCCAATAACAGTCTTCAATAGCGAATAACGTAAACATACAAGTAGCGGCCATGCTAATTTAAGGTAATCGCGTATTAGACTTACCTCACCGCGGCGCAATGTAGTAACTAGCTCTTGTGGACAATGCCCTACCTTAAAGTACCAAAAACTATAACAATCTATAAATAAATAGTCTATAGTTTAAGAGGAAATGTAGTCATAGATAACTAAAGTTTTATAAAGATACCGCATTTTGCGACGTGACAGAATTTTTTTGTCTGCCTTTGACTCGTGCTTCAAGGTCAAATCAATTATGATTTTTTATTGTTCTTCCCTACTTGTAAACTTTTCCTTACATCAAATTCGCCTCTAGCCTCACCGCTTCATTTAACTGGTATTGTCCAATGAGCGATAACCTTTAGATATTCGCTTCTTATATATTTACGCTTTATAAACCCCAACTGTTCCAGACATCTATATTTCCATTACAATTTTTAAATTGCCTTATAAATGCAACCAGAATAAAAAACATTCAGACATCTCGTAATACATAGACAATTTGAAAATTCTCAAAAAAAACTTCGATATAAAACAATCTTCATGATAATCTATATTCATTTTATAAGAGACTGGAATGAAAGTAAGCTCCGTGAAAATTATATTTTGTTCTAGGAAAGATACCTCGCTAGGGTCTATATGAATAAACTTAGGTGGTCATATAAGTTTTAATTTAAATTTGTTAAGAGCCTGTCCCACCACTGGCTGATAAAGGTTTAAATAGCTTAAAATGACGTCACTGTCAGATAAGGAAACAAAATCAGATATTTCTATCACGTATTTTACATATTGTTATAAGATAATTTACAATTTGGTGGGACAGGCCCTACGACTTTTAAATTTCAATAATCTAGATAACCATTTAATAATGTCACCAATACAATTATAGACCATGATAAAACCATGCCAAATATTGATTGTGTGAAAAATTACTCAAAAACTGAAAATAGTGTCGCATAAATAAAAAATAAAATTATTTAAATCCTGAGAAATCGGTAGATTGTATTGAACTATTATTAATATAACAATTTAAAACACACATTCTCTCTATTTTAATAATTCAGGAATCAATTATTAATAATAAGACTTTTCAACATTATTTTTGTCTATACTTTCCATATCGGACGAAAGACCCTAGACGTAAAATTTCTTTGCTTTCATTTTCGATTAACTTAATATAACTGAATTAAATATTTACCCCCTTAATAATAACCATATAAATTACACAGTTAAATATACCTCTTTATATTACAATAACAAATATAAAACAAAATGAACCCAAGTTTTAACGTGAAGTTTAAAGAATTATCTTACCCGCTTTACACCAATATTTAATTTACATTAGGCGAATACAGATAAAAATATTCTATACATTTTATACATTGTTAAATTGGTGGGTGGATACGGAAAGACCAGATTATATACCTTATTTCTGGTCTAATTACCATATATAGCTATATCTGCTTTTGTTGCCAGTTACAAGAACTATAGACGTTTTTTCTCAAAGTAAGACGGAAGTCATGCTTTGCTCTTTAATTTTATAAAAACAAGTAATTCAAATGACGAATTCCACAAAATATCAATAACAACGCCATCTATTGGCAAAATACACCATACTATACCAGATCGTGCGTTACGGTAAATACAACCGTATTGCTTGGCGTTACGGTCTATTCTCAGTATTAAATTGCATTTTGTTATCTCAATGTGTTAAGGTGTATAATCGCGTATTAGACTCGAGGAATGCTAGATGGCGAGCGGCTTGCCCCGGCACTGGTCCACGACGTATCCAGTAAAGCGTTTCAGGAACTTGGGATATTCTCGCTTGTAGACTGCGCGTAGAACACCAGCTGGTGCCCACCCACCGGGATTTACTAGAAATAGACAATTATAACAACGTTACACATCAATACTAAATGTAGTATTTACCGGTAGGAATAGCGTGCTTATCTTAATGCTAGTAATTGACGTTGACAGCTGTCATAGCGACGTGTAAGTCAATGATTTAGTGTTGCATCAACACAATATCGCTTTCTTATAAAATGACATACTAGCTGTTCCTGCTACAGCCATGGCAATCGTGCTTCTTTACTGCTATTTTATCCTTTACCCTTTTCCCACACATTTTTTTTAATTCACTCAACCTTTAAATTTAATAGCGTGAAAATTAATAGCCTATAGCATGTCGTAGGTATATGATTTATATTAAAAAAAAAAAAGATTTTTTCAAAATTATATTGTATTTGATGACATCCTATATAACAAAAAAGTGTGTTTACGCTATAAAGATAATAATATCTTACTCTTAAAAAACTTATAAAAAATACTTTGATAAATGTTTGTTACAGTTAAACCTAAACGACTGAACGGATCTCGATAAAATTTGACATAGATATAGCATAGTCTTGAAAAACACATAATTTACTTACTTTTTTATCCCGTATAAGTATATGAATTTAAGAAGTTACCTGTGCTGCAGTAAGCTATACTGGTGGTGATATTATCCCGTGTGGGCGCGGCGCCCGCCGGCCACGAGCTGCGGCACGCCAGGCACACCGTCACGAACAGACGGATGCACGCGCCAGTGTTCGGCTGAAATATACATTCTCAACCTTATCACTTAAGCATTAGAGTCCGATTTCATATGACAGACAGTTAAAATAAATAAAAAACAATCTTATCACTATACAACACAATTAGGAATTAGGAAAAAAACAACAAAGTAGTTAAAAAAGAATAATAAGCCTATAATTAAAGGACAGTTATAGATGTTTTTGTCTTAAAAATGATCTTTTATCAACATACAAATATATTGTGGGATTGTAGTCAAGAGGTAATTTATTCCTAAAATCACTTTTCTAATGTAATCGCAGATGCGTTGCCTACGTATAATCAATGAAGAAGACGCACATAAATAGGATATCTCTATGCGTCTCTTATACGGCCTAATCCAATTTCTCTTCAAAGTGGAGACTGAAATTACGGATCCAGCAACTTATCAGACTTTATGCAGAAGTACTTCCACTTCACGTCTATTTGGATCGAGGTATTGCGTGGGGCGAGTCGTCCCATTCGTGTAAAGATTAAAGCGAGGTCTACCTTTACAAAGTTTTCTCATTTTAAAATTTTATAGGCAAAAGTATAATTAGTTACAATGAGAATATGTCGATTTCTATGGAACAGCAAAGAAGTTAAAAGTGGTTTCTACCATTGTTAAACTTACAGGGTATTCAGCATTAGACGTAGAGTGGTTGGTAACGGCGTAAGTAGTATCGTCAGCGCGCACGTGCGACCAGAAGAGCGCGTCGCGCTGCGAGGCGGGCCAGATGCGCTTGAAGGTCTGGTGGAACACCAGCGCGTCTGACGATATCTCCTCCACTATCGTCATCGTCTCCAATGTCGCTGGAATTTAAAAAAAAAAACTATGTACAAAGACACGGAAAGCCAAAAGTTGATAAATGTAGGGTTGGGGCGATAAAATAAACAGTCTTCTTCTGTAATCACTTTATTTCTCACCCTAACCTTTGTTTTACAAGATATGTTTTTTTACTTATTTTTTTCGTCTTGGAAAACGTACGGCTATTATCTTTGCTACTTTTTCGTCTGGATATTGCTACATTCACTCCAGTCTATCATACGTCAGTCAAATTAATCACTCAATTTAGTCATCGTTTAGAAACAACTTTCTTACATTTTCGTTCAGAAACACACACACATTCTACATACAAATATTATCACACAGTTATTGCAGTCTATGTTTTTGTATAATGTACAGTTAGGGAATTTGGTGGTGATCAAAATGTTACAGTTGAAAGTTTTTTTTAGATGACACGGTACAATCTTTTTCAGTTATTTTATAATTAACTTGATAAATACTTTGTGTGTAAATTATAAAGTAATATTAAAAAGGACTGTAGATTTTGGTTGTCTTTAATCGTAGTAATTTATCTAAATGCATTAGCATTATATTATTAATAATAATTATAGATATTTAATTTAAGTTAAAAACTACTGGGCCGATTTCAAATATACTTTAACCATTAAAAAATTACGTTTTCACAGTAACAAAAGATGTGATTTTAAATATTTTTTTACTTAACGATTACGAAGTTCACGAGTTGAATATTTAATATTTTATTTAACAAAATTTACGTTTAACATACCATTTTTTACGTTAAAACCAACAAATTATCCTAAATAAGAGGTAAATTTATTGAACAACACTCACTCTCCCATTCGTATCGGTACCGCGGGTTAAAGAAGTAGTGGCACATCTCGCGCGCAGACACGCCGCGCACTTTGTGCATCGCCTTCAGCGGGTCCATCACCATGCCGTCCACCTCCATCTCCCTGGAAAGTACACACACAATACTGTAATAAACTGATATAAAGTCACATAAAGAACACAAATAATTCAAATCTCACTAATATTATAAATGCGAAAGTGTAGATGGATGAATGTTAGAGTTTGTAGCCTAAATAACAGAAGGGATCACGAAGAAATTTGACATAGAATGCATAGGCTACTTAATTTTGTTTTTTTTTTTTACTCCATACGGACGGTGTCGCGGGCAAAAGCTAGTCGGATTATAAATCTCAACTTAATCATTAAAAAAACATCTTTTTGAAGTCTTTTAAAACTGACATATTGCGGGAAAACATGGAACTAATTTCAATGCGTACAGTATAATGTGTTATAATACGATAGAAGCTTTTAGGCCTAGCATTCATTTTATGGTATATACTCACGCTATATAAAGATATGGCTTTTCATATGTTAAAAAAAATAAAAAGATCAATACTGACTTCATTAATAAACACAAAAAATGATAAACGTATATAATTTTTTTACTTAACCTTTGAAACAAGTTATTTACAAACATAATTTTAATTAATTTACATAAGAAAGGTACCCTCCACCATTATGTTAAAATGTACAAATAATACATAATGGATTATGCCTTCCGATATTACAATCCAAATCTTACCTGTGTAGTTTATTACTACGAGGCCTGCAACAGTAGTATTGGGAAGAGCAATAAAAAATTAAGACATAACATCTTTCAATATTTGTATCAATCTTTTACTAAAACTAGTATTATATTCCAAACTCACCTACATCTGTAATCACTAGACATTACATTAAAACTACTTATAAATTCAAGGTTATAAAACCTCACCTCCTGTACATCCTCATATCGCCCTCCTCTGCGAACAGCTGCCAGCCGATACCTCCTCCTACCTCCTCGAACGCTGCCTGTATCTGCTCCGTTGATATTCTGTTTATCTGTAAATTGTATAAAATAACATATTAAAATGATGCGTAAATTTATATACAGTATACTAGCTTTCGCTCGCGACTCCGTCCGCGTGCAATTGAAAGAAAAAAAAGTGAATAGTCTATGTGTCCTTTAGACTATCGTCTACGTCTATGCCAAATTTCGTCGAGATCCGTCCAGCAGTTTAGACTTCAAACTCCAAGGAACATCAAACATCCGTCCATCTGAACTTGCGTATTTATAATATTAGTAAGAAGTAAGATGGTGATGTGAGAGTGATTTATAACTCGGTAGGGCCATTAAGTGGACATTTTGCACAAAAAATTTACAACAACAATAACAATAATTTTTTTTAACATAAATCACACTAACGCTACATAGATAACTATTCATAACAGTGTATATTTTATTTTGAAACACTGTTTAGTTTATTTTCTAACATAAGGCGATTATTATAATTTTGTAAAATATTTTATTAATCAACGACGTAGTGGCAATAATCTTGGCAACTGATATAGTACCTTTCAGAGAAAGTAACGGTGAAATACTTTTTTCAACACCTCTTCTGTACATTTTTATGTCTATGAAATATCAATAACAGTATAATAAACTAACCTCCGGCCATAGTGGATGCACTGTGAGGCGGTTGTCGAGCGCAGGCGGCGGCAACTCCACCTGGTCGCGGGTACGCTCCGCGGGCGGAACAACGCGAGCGCACCGCTCTTCCTCCATCTTATCGAAGCCGGTCTCCACCGCATCGTAGAACTCGTCGTCCGGCAACGTTGAATGCGGCCCTTCCTTGAAAACACATTGAATATAAAAAATATAGCCGTAACAAACATTTCTCTATATCTTATCATCGTCTTCCTCTTTATCCTTCACCTATACGGTTGGAGCAACAGGTTTTTGTCCTCCACATAACTCTATCATACGTCATCTCAGTCAACACTCCTTTATCATGTCCACTTTCACGCAATCCATCCATCTCTAAGTCCACCTTTACCTCTCTACACTAACATTGTAAAGAAGAGAGATTGGTATTTTTATATGTATGGAAATAACTCGAAAAGTACTTGGCCAATTACGTTCCTTTCACCGTTTTAATGCTACATGATTACTGAATAACATAGGCTGTATTTTTGTAATTTTTTATTTTTAAGCGGACGAAGTCGCGAGCAACGGCTAGTTTGTAATCCGTAAGAATACAGTCCGCTTTATCATAATCAATTCGCTTCGCAAGCGCCGACGTTTAATTTTAATAAAATTTCGAGTTTAATGCGCTAGTAACTACTTAAATGTCGTTTCATTATTTGGCTGTTAGTGTTAGGTCAAATAAGGTGTTTCAGATAGGATATTGATACAGTTTGCTTTATCTCAAGCAATGGAAATGTAAACATAATTATTTTAGCAGACATTGTAGAGACGAATGCAACGTGAGAGCGGGCGACCTTGCCAGGTTCTGTTTTCAGCGGCGTCATAGCTCGCTGATAAGCGCTTTCCTTTAACAACCTCATTTAATAACACAAATTATTAAATGCTGGCAGTAATTTTAATTAAAAATAACAAACACTTATACGTTTTGGTAGCCAAATTTTATATTTTTTTAAAAATTCAAGTGGTTTTCAACAAAGCTTTATGAATAAAATCCAAAGTGACCTCATTGGTATGGAAGAATTATTTCGAAAATGTTGGAATTGGAATCGTACATTAAAATGTCGCTTTCAAACAGTTAGGTCGGGTTTTCACCTATTGCGTGAACATAAGCGTGCAAGGCATCCGTAATATACTGAACAAAACGGCAGAATAACAATGAACTACGTCACACTTTGTAGGTCAGGTTATCGCCTATAAAATATTTAGGACACCTGACCTCATATACCGTGAATTAATCAGGTGTCCTACATATTGATAATAGGACAATCATAGTTCAATAACTCAACAACACCGTGGGACTCTACACCTGTGCAAAACAAGCAAGTACATAAGACCACAAAAATATCTTACTAATATTATAATTACGAAAGTTTAGATATATGAATGGAATGTTTGTTCCAGTTTGTAACCTTAATGGCTGAACAGATCTTGATCAAATTTGCCTTGTAGAGGATAGGCTTACACACTTTTCTTTTTTTTTAATTCCACACGGACAGAGTGCCGGGCAAAAGCTAATATTTCATACATTCACACATTTTAAAGTCCAATGACTATTTTATAACGATGATTGCAGGCGGGAAAAAAAACGCATTTCTTCCAGCAAATTCGATTTGCAAGTTTTATTGCAATTCTTCGTTTTGATTTAAAAACAATTTATAAATTTAACAAAAAACAGTAGCAAATGGAATCAATAGTACATTACACGAGGAAAAGTAACGAAGAGAGCGATTGAGGGCTGCCATCAGATATTCCCAGATATTTTTCAAACAAAGACTAATAGAGAAAAGTTATTTTAGGATGTAAAAAAAAACTACCAGACCAAACTGTTTTTTACTTCATAGTCTGACTTGTATTTGCTTCATTACTTGTACTTAATGACATCTATTGTTAATGTTAAACATATAACCTACTTAAAACAATGTACTAGAGAAACCAGATTGCCCGATTACCTTTGACGTCATATAGGTTACCTACAAAGCATACAAAACAAAAGGCTGACCCTTTTCTCTCATTAACAGTGATTTGGCACAACCTAATTGAGGGTACATAAACAAAGACAACATAAAAGGGTCAAATGACGTTTAATATCAAAGGATAAATTGTATCGCAACATACTACCCTCATAAGATATCATTCACAGTTACACAGTTTTTTAATTTCCGGGAACAAAGATGTGGACTACAGCTAGACAGAATATAAATGCAATCGTAGTATAGTTTATTGCCAGCCAGCCCTAGCAATACTTGGAAATACTTTCACCGTAACACTCCCCTGACGCGTAAGACCTTTATCTCTTATTTCTATACATAGAGACGTTTCAATCTAGGTCAGATGAACGTGCCATGGACATTAAGTATTTTATATAGTAAAAAAAACAAAAGAGACTTTAGTCAACAGTTTATTGTGAAATTTAAGATTAGAGAATAAAAATTCGTCATTCGAATGTTATATTCCTTGAACGAGATAATTTGAAGTGGCCGTTGGAATATTAATAGAGTTGGAAATAAAAAAATTACATATTAAATTGTCTTGTATTCTAAATATAATTTTGGATATTGTATCAGTCTAATTAGAGTTACCTTGAGGTAGCAGTAGTGGAAATTATTAAAAATAATGCGTTCTCGGTATTACATGTAATTTAATTTCTACAGGAATTAAAACGGAAACAGGATACACGTTAATCCATACTGAATGTTGCTTATATCCTATAGCTTTTAAAAACATTTTTAAACGAATTGTGCAACATACTATAAAGGTTTTACGATAGAAACGCAATGCCAAATATTGTAAAAAAAATGTGCACATCTTCAAGCGTGAGACCTGTTTTACGCAATATTCTCTATAGAAAAAATCATTTATTAGTTAAATACGGATATAAAATAAGGGCAATGTAACACTGTATTTCAATATCAATGTCAACACCATGTATCAAACTTGTGTACATATTTTTAAACATACTGTATACAGATAATGATCATGTGATCAATCAGCCTGTATATTTATATTCTAATCCGTTACATGATGTTATATTATGTAAGATTATGTTATTATCGGTGAACGTGTCACACCACAAACATTTATTACTTCATCGTGAGCTCGTAATCCTTCATTTTACGATGAGAAATTTATTAGACAATATAGAAATTAAAATAACCACCTTAGCATAAATTAATATCATAGAAATACTGTAATACTATCTTACTAATATTAAAATGGATGGATGTTTGTTAGAGTATGCAGCCCAAACGGCTGAACGGATCTCGATGAAATTTAGCATAGATGTAGAGGATAGTCTGGAAGAACACATAGGCTACTCACTTTTGTTTTTTTTTTAATTCCACGCGGATGGAGTCGCGGGCGAAAGCTCGTAAATAATAAAGTTTGGAATGGATGTTTGTTGAGTGGATCAGGTTGAAATTTGTAACAGACCTGGCTTAACGCATAGACAAATAATCATGAATATTATAAATATTATAAATGCGAAAGTTACGATGGATGGATGTTTGTAAGCGCTTGTAGTCTAAGCGGCTGAAAGAATCTCTTTGAAATTTGGCACAGGTTTAGATCATAGTCTGGAAGAACACATAGGCTACTTTTTATCCTGGAAATAGTTACGGTCCCCATGGGATTCTAAATTTAGTTTTTTTAATTTTTACTCGATCATTTTGCAACGGTTCAACATATCTAATTAAAATTTGGTACAGATATAAAACAAAGTCTGAAGTACACATGGGATAAGGTTCATCCCCGAGGAATGTCCGTTTCCCGAGGGATATGTAGCTTTTTGTTATTTACATAGTTCTTATGTTTTCTAATACCACGCGGACGAAGTCGCGGGCAACAGCTAGTTGAGTTATATTTTTTCCACGCACACGGATACGCGGGCTAAATCTAGTTGAAATATAAAACATATCCAAAATAAATTCTTTATCGATCTATCCAATTAAAACACAAACAACTCTAACTATTAAAATTCCATTTCAACTTGACATTTAGAAATATAATTGCCAAACTCTTGGCATTGTATTACGTAGCTATGAATTTTTTAACCTATAATTATATAGTGAAATTAATAATTGTATAGAAAAATTGATAATCTATACTTAAAGCGTGGTTTTCTATATGTATAAAACACCTGCCAAGTTAAGCTAGAAGTAAATTAAAAGTAAACTAATGTTAGTAAATTACGTTCTTTTTTAACTAAAGCTATATACTAAAAACAGTGTTTTCAGTATATGTAGCAGACAATCTAATAAATATGACAAAGTCTAGGAAAAACCTTATTGACGGAAAGAACGTCTTACTTAGTTAATAAAACACTTGAGTAAATTTAATTTAGATAAAGTTAAATCCATTTCAACAAAGAAACTCTTTATCACTAAAACACCAGTATTTCAGTTTCCACTTACATTAAAATGTGAGTTTATTCATCATATATTGTTAATTCCCCACAAACTATTAAAATGTATCGTATATCTGTCCCAAAATATACTCCTTGCATTAACCGACACGCGATGCGAATATAAATTCATACAAAAATCACCAAATAACAATGACGTTCATAAAAACTCACAAACAAAAAATGTTCACTAAAACACTGGGCGACAGTCGCAAAAAAGAGCAACCGCACCCCATAGCAACAAAACCTCGGGGTAAATAAAACGCTGACGTCACTCCTATCATCCCCCGTGCCACTAGGGTGCCGTCCAATGTTATGTCTTCACTAATATACAATGACGCAACACGCAGCCTTTCCGACATCGCCGCGCCCCATAGATTTCTAACCGTGCCTAGCAACCGAGGGAACCTTTAGTATCCCTTATATAAATTATTTTGTCATTTGCTATCTGGCCATTAAAAACTATCTAAGTATTAAAAACACGAAATTATAACAAAATACAAAGTAGAAAATGTGCATATGTCTAAACTACAATTATTATTGGTACAATTTCCTTCCTCTTAATTCCTTTCATTAGTTGCATATTACAACGTAGCAAGCACACATTTTATAATGAGACAATATTTTTAAAACAGAGTACAACTCAAACTGCAAAAACAAGTAGGAAATTAGTGCTGACATCAAACATAGGACACTAATTAATACAATTACAATACAAAATTGACATAATTACAACCAAAAGTTG